CCCCAAAACCCCAAAACCCCAAAACCCCAACATTACAAAGATTGTTGAGATAGAAAGAATATTTATAAATATGGAAACTTATAAGCGAAAGGATTCCATCGGCTACGATATATCAGAGGAGACAAGTCTTGCAGTAAGTCCAGCAGCTTTATTAGTAGACTCAAGGGACTAAATATTCTAGCATTTCCAATGCCTGGACTGAAGAGATAGATGAAGAAACAATGGACTACCAGATTGAAGAATTATCACAACTTAAAGAATATGACTACTTCTGGAATATTATGCAAGTCAGCAAGTTATGCAGCAAACTCTGTTGACGAAGGTGAGGTTCTGATGCTCTGTCAAGAATGCTAGGGAGTTTATTATTTCAAAAGGCTAGCCCAACTTTATTACTTAATAATCTTAAATACCTTCCTAATTTACAACATCTAGAGTAAAGAGAAGATTTTCCAAGCGGTTTAATAAACCTCCTAAATGTTCGGTCAAGAAAAGGCTTTAGAAATTTTGGGCAGTGAGTAAATAAGATTGAGAGACAAATAACAGGGGAGGCTAAAATATTATTATACATCCTTCTTCTCCCATATATACTAATATTGTGTTTGTACAAGGTATGCAAAGGAATCATAAACTTATTTTTTATGCTCCCAAAAGGAAGAACTAAGAGAAACAACTGAATGCTATTCGCGTTTATAGTCTTTCTCATAACTTTCTTCCTCTTCCTTGATGCCTTCCTTAAGGTTAAAAAGATCCAGTATGAAGCTATTGAGGATTATGTGACCAGAATGGCCGCCTCACAGTTGTCTATCCACGCAGATTACATCGCAAGCATGAATACAGTAGATATGCAGGAAATATTCAGGGAAATTACTATTATAAGCACGGTCATGTCTATAGCTATTTTAAACAAGAGTTATATCTCACATGAATTCTTACAGTATTCTAAGCAGCATAAAATGATTAGTAATAGTGAATATATTTCCCTAGAAGAGGAGCTAGTGTATCCTCCAGATGATGAGTTCATGAGCTACCTTATCTTCCCACAAAAAATGGACTATTCCAAGCTAGAGCATTACCATCCAGCTGAGAAGGAAGTGGAACTATGAGCGTTTATTGAGTATTATGTGGAATGGATTCTGCATGAACCTCTACTTCAGATGAATTAAAACCCTCATTTTCATTGGGTTTTACACAGAACTTTTTTGAGAATATGCTGCTTCAAACATACAATATTATAGAGGTATTATCAGGTTCAGTAACTTATAGGCCCTCCCATCGAGAAAGAAGAAAGACACGGCTACAATTTTGAAAAGGATGAGCAGGTCTTCTTTCCGAGTATTCGAAAATGGTTTGATAAAGGTATCAAAGAGAGTGGTCTCACCACTTTTGTTGGAACATATGTCTGGGCTGGTCATGATGGGAAAATAGGGAGCACCCTTTCTCAAGCTTTCTTGGATACTGACTCCAGCATCCTTGGAGTGATTGGATTCGACTTGATTCCATATTCTAAAAAGAAAAGTGGAGCTAAATACCAAGAAAGCAATAATTTTAGTATGTTTGGGGAAGACAGCTCGAATCAAAAATATTTTATTACCTCAAAATCAAATGTTTTAAATCAAAGAATTTATAACATAGCATCAGATCTTGCTCGTAGTGTATATTCAGAACACAGAGAAGCAATTCTGAAAAATCTCAAGATCCAGAATGGAATTGATAATAGCACATCAAGCCAGACTGGAACCTGAGATAGGTTTACTAATATGCAATTCTTTGAGTTAGAAAACTTTCAAGGAGAATCCCAACATCTCATGTCATATACCTTCTGTGGTGTAGCACGTATAATATGTTTTGAAGAGATAGAACTTTTGGGTCAACGCCTTGACAATAGCTCCAAAAGGTCAGCCGAAAACATGGTTGGGCTCATCTTCGAGCAATCAAGGATCACCGATTACATCAGGATAATTCATACAGAGCTGTTAGGCACTCTAGTGGTCTCCAATATAATCATCATTTTATTTTGTTGTTTCCTTGCTAGTATAGTGATAATCCTGTCGATCAGGAAAATTTCTGACAAAATCAGGAACCAAATAGTTGACATGTGAATCAGGATGAAAATTGTCCAAATGAATCATAAAAGAATGAGTCAGCTGAATTATCAACACAAAAGAATCGAATTTCTACATTACAACTCAAAAGCCAGTCATGCTGGGACTGGGACGAATTTTAGCGAGATTTTTAGGAAAGCTGAGATAATCCTCACTGTTTACAACCTCAAGCATTTTGAATTAAGGGAGAATAACCCCGAGGAATACACTCAGAAAGCTCTACAGGAGTTTGAGCAGATAGCCATAACTTTTGAAGACTTTATAGAGGCTTCTCTAGAGAAAGGAAATGATGAAGACAAGCTTGATAAGCTGTATACTCAGCTTTTTAAATGTAAGAACAACATTGGAGTACTATATTTCTCTCTTAAGCAGTATGAGAAAGCAGAAAAGATTTTCTGTGAACTCAGGGATCATTATGGATACAGGACTGCAAGAGATGATTATCTGAGCATGACTAAGCTATCACTTAATTCTTCAGTCAATTTGATCAAGATGATTGAGAATAAGTGTAATAAGAAGTTTAAGGAAAACTCCTCGAAAGTAAATATTAGGAAGGAGATTATCAGAACTACTTTCTATCTTAATAGTATTATCAAGACACAGTCTAAGAAGGTACATAACAATGAGATCGAGCTTATGGCTAGAATCCTGCTTATCCAACAAGACCTTGTTTTGAAATAACTATGATAAGTGTGAAGACGGTCTCAAGACTTTCAAATAACATAATAAGGTCAAACTATGAGTTCGACAGAAATGATAATCTCCTAGAATTTTGTAGCCAGAACCGCCTTTATTTAAAGGCGTGTTTTATGATTGACCTCTTTCTGTGAAATGAGGAACTTTGAGGATGAAACTTAAGGAATAAAATCCTCCAACTTTCTTCAAGATTACTATGAGCAAAATGATCCTCAGGAGATTTGGAGGGAAGGCAGACTATTAAATAAAATCAGATACTCTAAAACTATTCTCTCTGCTAAATCTCTGGAGGAGACTGACTCTTTATTCTATATTCAGGAGGCTCTATTGTGCTGAATGAGGGTCCTTTATATCTTTGAAAGGCTTGACCCAGATATTTTGAAGCAAACCTTACACTTACTAGGCGACTATTATTATTTGAAAGGATTAATTTCACCTCAGGAGCCTAACGAAAAAGTGATGAGAACGCTTTGTTTTACCTCTTCACAATATCTAAACTCTCATAAAAGATGGAATGTGCTCATATCCTACAACCCAAAATTAGCTGTTGAATATCACGAAGCAGGAAATTACTTAGAGGAAATAAAGCAATGTCTAGAGGGTGAAGACATCATATCCCTCTACAGGTATGATCTTAGCTAATATTTAGGTACACTTCTCAAGTCCATCAGGCCAATTACAAAAATATCTTCACAGCTGCTGCAAAGCAGCAGGTGAAGCACTCTTTGAAATGAATAGTTGACAAGAAGTTTGCTAAGAATATTTCTTTTAAATCATCCTTATTTAGTAAGAGTTCTCTTCATATTTAGGTGGTCTCCTCACTACTGGAAATGATTTTGAGAATTTCAATAAAAGCAATTTTTTGAATAGATTTTGAGAATTTTTAAAAGCTAAACATCACAAAACTAATAAACGTTTGACTAACAAGAAGTACAGGAACTTAGTTATAGCATTTACTCATATTGACGAATGGCAAGAGAAAGAGGAAATAGAGTCCTTTCTGGATGTTCTTAGATTAGAGAGGAGACAAAATGAGTTACAAAAGAATAGATCTCAAGAGCAGTTAAAGGCAGCTATTATTATCATCGTATTTCACAATAAAGTTGTTCCTAAAGTAAGTAGTTATTCTTGCTAAATTCTTTATTTTCCATTCTCCAAGTCTTTCATCCTCTCTAATTGCACCATTAATGCATTAAAACAGAACCATTCTAAAATGATTTATGATTTTATTGGTGAAATTTTCAAGTTTGATAAGTCATTCAAAGTTGTTCAGAAATTCTAAATTCGTCAAACTTACATTATATTTCAGGTTGATGCCTTTTCATCTTTCAAGAGTGAGGACAGAAAAGTACCAGACCAAAAGTAAGTTTACTGTGTAAAATTTAGGGAAATTCCAGAATGGCTCACCCAGATATCTCAAGATATAAATCTACCCATATCTGTCATTTCTTGAATGGAATCTGACCAAATAAAACTCGACAGTAAGGCTAGAGGTTATCTATAGGTATCAAACATTTTATACATTTGTCAAGGAAATCAGGGATCTGAAAGCTAAATGTATTGAAAAGCCCCTAAATAGCCTACAAGTGTAATGCAGTTGAAATTACTTTTGAGTTATACCATTAAGCCTTCCTCTACATTTTTAATCTAGCCTAAAATGGTCAGCACGTTGTGTCAAATTAAGGCAATATTCGTATTAATATTTCAGAAAAATCTGAGAAGGAATATTTATCTCATTTAAGCCCTAGCTTGTGTTGGAAATTAGATAATATAGTGACTGGAAATAGAGCCAAATTCATTCTGAACCAATAGATTTCTGACTTATTTATTCTCAGGAGAGGAAAAAATCTCTTAAAAGGTTTAATTATACAAAGTTCTTCAGTATAAAAAGTGTTGGCTTTGATGAAAGGTGACTTGAGTCTTTAATGGTTCCTCAATCAATTCTAATATGGTTATGAAAGTTCAACTATCTGTTGATATATTGGGGTTTTGGGGTTTTGGGGTTTTGGGG